TTTAATATAATTAAAATTACGTTTTCTTATGAAAATACATTATAAAATTATTTTAAAATATATTTATTTATAAAATTATTTGAATTTCGGGCCGGGCCGGGCCGGGCCATAGTCGGTCCCATAACCGGTCCCGGTCCCACAAAACTACCAAAAACCTCAACCGGTCGTTACCGGTCCCGTGCCGTGCCGGGCCGGGCCGGGCCGGGCCAATTTGGCCATCTCTACTATAGTACATGTAGATAATCTATGTGGATATTGGATAATGAGGTGACATGAAACCTGGTATAATTGGTAAATTTAAATAAAAAAGGTTACCCAATGCTATAATGGGTATATTTTTCAAATTACAATGTTCTAATAAAAAATAATTTGAAAGTACATTGATGTAATAAGAAAAACTAGAAGTATAATGTTATAATAAATAAATTCATAAAAGTAGATTGAAATTTTCTGCATTTTACCCTTTTTTGTTCTTACAGTTTCGAAATTATAAAATGATCATCATGGTTTGTAAAAACATTTAGATTTGATCCCTCCCTCTAACGACCGTTAAAAAATTCGTTAACAACCGTTAAAAAGAATCCGTTAAATGAGGCGTATTTCATCTTTTTATCAAAAAATTTTGGCATTTATGCAATTAAAAATTATAGGGATCAAATCGTAAACTCGATTTTTTTTTTGGTTCAAAGACAAAAAAAAATCAATAAAAAATGAAAGTGCTCATTGTTTAACAAATTCTTTTAACAACCATTAGAGTTTGAGATCAAATATGGACGTTTTGCAAACCACGATTGATATCTTATAATTTCAAAACTGCATATACCAAAAGTGTTATATTTGACAACTACGGGGACCAAATTTGTAGTTTACTCCAAAACTTTTATTCTTAGAGTTAATCAAAATCATTTAGATCATCACATATTTTTGAAAATAATATCAATATTTTTTTATAATCCCGTAGCATTGATTACTGTACTATTTTTTACTTAAATTAATTTCATTAAATAAAACTAAAAACCATAATTATAAAATTTATTTTTTATTAAATTAAATATCTACATGTCTCTACAGTCTACACTACGACCCACAATAATAAAAGCCCAACAGGTTATCTTTAATTTTATTTCTTTAACAGCCCAAAAATTGAGGCCCAATATAGAAATTAAACAAGGAGTAGCCCACAAGAAATTAAGCTAGTCCACAATTATTAAAATAACAATGCAACAAGGAGTGGTTTATAAAAACGCTTATCAGATAAGTATTTGTCAGATCATTTACTTTATCGAGTGAGTATAATAAAGACTAAAAATCTTGTCTAATAAGAGGTAAGACACAGTTCAAGAATCTTAACTAGTAAGTGAGGATGGTGGCTCTTACCCGATAAACACTTACTAGGTGATAGATGCTTACCAACAGTTCATTTTGATGGTCTTGAATGTTACTTGGGAAGATAAGTGACATTGTTGACTTTTGTCGATAGACGCTTACTCGCTGAGCATTTGATAAATGACCTTTGATAAAAAAATAAAAAAAAAAGTAGGTCTCAATCTCATCATCTCAACCCGGTTTTGACGCTATTGCACCAAACCTGCACCAATAGCCTTTTTGTGACTTTGGGTGCCAGATTGGGTGTTGTTTTGTCATCTTTTTACGTTAAACCCTTTGGTAATATTTATACTAACTATTGACACAAAAATAGTAAAATTATTCAAAGTACAGGGCTTTAATTTTATAATTTCGTTTTCGTTTTTGTTTCTACACATCGTTGTCTTTTGATGATGTTTTTGGCCAAGGCAATGGCCTTCGAGGCACTATTACGATCCAGAAAACAATTAACAACTTTAATATATCAAACAACTAATATGGAATGATTAATTTTCAACTTTAACATAGTGCCTCGAAGATTTGTACCAACACACCCGAAAGTACGTGCATTTCAGATGACCACCGCAGAGGCCTAGGAGACCCTAGATGTTGTGACATGTACATTCTTAATAAGTTATGTATGTGCCAAGGTGTATTTTAATTAGGGAGAAAATCGCTCCTTTGTATCGCCTAATTTTGTTATGTGTCTACATGTGAAACCAAAGCTGTTAAACCATGCCTTAGAGGTAGAGAGCGTTGATGATCATCGTGTGTTTATTAGTGATGTTTTTGAGGATTGCACCATAGATGTAGATGGGATTTTGGTACATTTACAATTGTATTTTATGCTGATGGGATAATTTGATGTGGCAATCAATATGGATTGGTTGGCGAAGAACAATGTAAATATAATGTGTAATAAGAAGTTGATTCACATTTGTTTTCCAAACAAGGGAATTGTGGTGATATATGGGAACCAACGCGATAGAAAGACTAGTCTTAATGATAAAGGCTACTCGATGCTTGAAAAATGGGTGTTAGAGTTACCTAGCGATGTAATAGACGCTAAGGAAGAGTAGCATAGAGTAGAAGAAGTGTCTGTGGTAAAATACGTCTTTTCATATGATTTAAAGAACCTACCCCGAATCGTCAGATTGAATTTCGAATTGACTTGGTGCTGGAGCCGCTCCAATAGCCCGTGCACCATATTGGTTGGCACCCTCCGAAATGAAAGTGATGATGACCAACTCCAAGATTTGTTGGGCAAGGGGTTTGTGATATGTCACTATGGAGAGCATCGGTACTGTTTGTTAAGAACAAAGATGGAACTACGTGGATATGCAATAGATTATCATGAACTTAATAAAGTTGCGATCAAGAACAAATACCTGCTCCGGAAAATAAAGGATCTATTCGATCAATTCCAAGAGGCGAGTTACTATCAAAAATTGGTTTACAATCAGGTTATCACTAACTCAAATTGAGAGAAGATGTACCGGAAACGGTTTTGAACACTATACAAACACCGTGATTTTTTGGTAATATCATAACATAAAGTTGTCCAACAGTCTCCTTCCACTCTCATAATCTTCCTCGTCTTTAATGGTGGTAGTTCATCATGCTTGAACTCTCGAAGGTCTTCATCCAAGAAGATAAATGAGTCTCCATTAGCGGAAGGGCTTTTGTGGCTTGGGTCTTTGTCAGTTTCGCCCCTCGAATGCATCCGACTATTCCAGGTTCTTCCCTAAGTGTTCAAAGCTTGTTTTTTTTTTTATTTTTATCAAAGCATGATTATCACGTCCTGGAAGTTACACTTTTTGCATTCTTGTCTCATGGTTCCTTCTAACAGTCTAATTAAAGTCTGAAGTCCCGCTAAGTATGTGTTAACGTTTCTTTGTTGCTTCATTTGCTTGTTAATATCTTCATACCCTCCCCCCCCCCACACACACACATACAAATGCAATGACAACTGATCAAATCCCCTGATTGTTTAGTAAATATGTATTTTCAGCTATCAAAACACTAACGGTTTACAACACTATCAATTATTATGTTGGTATTCTACAAGATTTATTCTACATATTTCATAACAATTGGATTTTAAAAATAACTCATTCTATTATATATTTTATAGGACAATTTTCGATAACCATTTCATGAAAATGTCATAGAAGTATTTTTGTCGATGTAGTGGTTGCAGCTTGGCAACACGACTGAAGTACATTGAACCAGACAAATAGTTTTCCTTTATACTAAACTCTTTAGTTATACGAACAACTGGTTTCTCGGAACTCATGATTTGGAACGACCGACTTTTTCACCTATTTATGCTAAAAGTTGTTTTCGTTGAATGACTGGAATATGCAAAAAGTCTGTAAGAATATTCTCAATGCTCATTATCCTTATCGTACGAGATTTCACATTAAAAAAGATGATGTGATCAACCTCTTATATCTTTTCGATCATTATACTTCAGAAACAAAACATAGGTCTATTAAACAAGTGAAATGACCATGATACCTCATATACAATTGATATGTAATATCTACAAAAGACATATCAAATATAACCTAACTGTGCTTTGGTCAATAAAATTAATCCAGAGATAACCATTAAGAAATCAATATGTTATATTGACTTGATATACAGACGCATATTAGACGCGCGCATATTCACTTAGGACGGTCACATGCACACGCTTTATCCTCCTGACATAGTGGAAAATATTTAACGAGTCTTACTGGTGCATCGGTTATGATCAAATGTATGTCACTAGAAGTTTCGGAAAACCATTTGGGAGTTACAAGAAAAAACCCCACTTATTTAGCAATTTTAATTACACTAAACTTACTAATTTTAGTTTTATGCTATGTAATGTTAATTATTTAACTCGTGCTTGTAATTTTGTCTGGACCCGACTACGTTGACATACTCTCTCAACTCTTTATCGTGTCGTTTTAAGCAACAATCGTTTTCATTTCTATATCATGGTGTTTTCAACATCGTTCTTTTTCATCTCCATATCGTGTCATTTTGCCACTTGTAAACACGAGTCGATATCATCCTAAGTTATATCAAACTCAAAGACGGACATTATTTACAAGATCCATAAAACCTTACGAATTGATGAAATTTGCTATGATTAAGCAAACGTACCTAACATACTTCATTAAGAACTAAACTCTAACATGACAAAGATATACACAGATCTTACCATTACTCTATATGTATTATATAAATACTCTACATCTGAAATTTTCTATGATAAACACACACACACACTAATTCACTAAAAAAAAAAACCCTAAAATTTAGTTCATTCCAAGATGGTTTATTGAAACCAACCATATCCCACCGTACCCATTTGTTTTATCCTCCATCTAACAATGTACAACAAAAGAAGCAAGAGGTACAACAGAAGATGCACATTGTACACCTAGTCAATACTTGTGGAGCACAAAACCTACTTTTCAGACAAGAAAAGGATTTGTACTTGCAAGAAAATGTTAGCCCACTTCCCCCTTTGATGTTTTACATAGATAGCTTTAAGTTTATTCATGAATTCCCAATGAAATCTACTCAAAATCTTTCTCATATCTTAATAAAACAAGTGATGAAAGATGGGAGCTTAATAAACCAAAATGACATGATAAAATTTAATTAAGCCACCCAAAAAATGGAAATGAGAAGGAAAACATGAGCAAGAAGATGCAATATAGATAGAATGCATCTCTATCTAGCTAGCCTTGATATACACACTACAACATTCTACCCAAATTTATGCATAATCGGGTTGTACCGTACAATTAATTAATGCTCTCATTGGAATCTTGAACTTGCTTTTTCCCAGAAGTGGCTTTATTATTATGCATCCAAACCTTGAGGACTTGTCTTTTAACTCCTACCTCGGCACAAAACCTTTGAACCTCTGGATCGTCTTCTCTTGGGATCCTCCACCCCACTTTCTCTGCGAATTCCAGCATTTTATCCTTCTGATCTTGGGTAAATTTCGTTCGGAATCTCTTTTTTGTCATCCCATAAAGGGGAGCTACACCCGCCGTCGTGAAGTTCAGCTCCTCGCTGGAGGATTCGGTGGCTGCACCACCGCTTCCACCGAAAGCCATTTTAACTGGGGGAGCGTTGATGGAGGAAGCCCAGTTGGGGTGGTGGTGGAGGGAGATTGTTGGAGGAGGGGTACGGTGGTGGTGATGGTGGTGGTGGAATGATGGTGAAGGGGATGGAGAAGGTAAGGGAGGAGGGAGCTGGAGGAAAGGTCCAGCTGCCGAGGGACTGGTGGTGGGGTATTCTTTGCGGTGGAAGTTCCGGTGGCAGTTACAGGCGGCGCATTTCAGTGCTTCTAGGGTTCCGTCGTCTCCTGACGGCATAAACTCACCGCATCCGTCGGTGATGTTCCCCCCCATGTTCGCAGCATGGTTCTTGAGACATTCTCTGTACCTGGGCATCTGCACCGGCGACTTCAACAGCTTAGATCCGACGGAAATGGGTGTGACGGAAGCTCCGGTGCCGGGAAACCGATCTGGATCCAACCCATGATCTACAGTTTCAGAGGAGGACTCCCTAATCAAGTGGTTGTTGTTGTAAGGAGATGAAGTCTGCATTCCTATCTCTTTCTCACTGCCACTCAACGCCATTAATCACACCTTAAAACACATGCTCCATGATCCAACAACAAGATTCAAAACAAACACAAACCCATGAAATCAGTACAATCTACGAATGCATGTTTCTAACTTAAAGCTTCAAAGCCCAGAAACCATATGTGATCAATTTCAGGATGAACCCTAAAAAGATAGAAGCTTTACCTCAGCAGCAGCTAGCAGAGATGGAGTTATGGTGGTTGTTTCATGGAGTTTAGAGAGAGAGAGAGAGTGTTGCAGAGGTTCCAACAGGACAAGTATGAAGGAAACAAGAGACAGGTTGGTTGCCTAAGATGAAGTTAAGAATAAGATGGAGAGAGAGAGAGAGGGAGAGAGATAGAGAGAGAGAGAGAGAGAGAGAGTGGGAAACAACTCAACCCCAAGAGAAAGATGACATAATATGCTTTAACTCTGCTACATGTGAGATGGAGCATTTGGGTTACACATAAATAAAACACATCTATCCTTAAATCAAATCCTTCTACATCCAAATAAACATAGACTTGATTAATTAACCTCAATCTTATCAAAATATAATACCAAGTTTACATTTTTTAATGATAAACATATAAATTTACTGCATCTTTTCTTAGGTTCTGTATAAAAATTGTGATATTGTTCTATTTTCTTGAAATAAATTCATTTATCAATTAATACACTAATTAATAAAAAGTCCTTCGATGAAAAACGTGTGAATTAGAAAACACGTTGCATATTTAAGGGAAGTATACGTCCTTACAGATCAATCACAAGGTAATGTTATTTATAGAATTCGATTTTGATGTTTCATGATTTATAGAAAAGAGTATGATAATTATTTAATTTTGATAAGATTATTAAGGTTTTAACCCAATAAAACACAAATTATATTCATGAATTTTGAATAGCCTTTTGGTTTTTGTAAAATATATATATATATATATATTCTCAATATTTAAATAGTCAACTCTGTTTGCTAATTGAAAGTAATTAACATAATTTTGATTGACGAATCAATATGAAAAAAAAAGTTAAATATTATGAAAAATAAAAAGGAAAAGTTGATACATAAACTATTGAAAAATTCTATTTGAAGATGTATATAAGAAACCATATGAATAATCTGTAAAGTTGTTTCACATAACCACAAGAGTGGTGTCCGGTTAGTATGAGTTTGGACTCCAAATATCAAAAGTGTCTGGAGGTCTCCGATTCAAATCCAATGAGGAATAAAAATCTCTTTGTGACCATGAAGGTTAAAATGCGGTGAATTCCAACTACCTGCAAAACGAGTGGTCATTCTAAGATTAATTAGTCGGCTCACATAACAAGTTGAATATCCAGATTAATTAAAAAAAATAGTTTCACATATTTATCTTAAAATCAGAGTTTTGTAATAATTCACATGTGAATTAAACTTTCTTTTATTATCTGCTCATGTTATTCAACATTCTTATTTGAAACTCCACAACTAAATCGAATATACTAAAAAGTTATCAAGGGTTAAATATTAGATCGAATGTTTATCATCCATGTTAAGATAATAATAATAAAAAAAAGACAACATCGAGGAAAGACCCTTCGCTGCTTCCTCTGGTTTTTCTTTCAATATAATCTGATCCCCTATCCGACTACCTGTTGAACTATGTTTTGAAGCTCATATTTCTTTTCAAGAGCTTATTTTCACTATATTTATAAAAATATTGTATTTTAATGATCAAAATAAATAAATTAAATAATGTAACTTCATGTTTTTCATATAAATAGTTATGAAATGCAAAATTATATTCTCATATATCAATTATTTCATTTGTAACCCAACTTTATTAAAATTCTAATCAAACTATTGAAATGTTAAATTTTCTCTCTTAAAATTGTGCTTAATTATATGCCTCTTGTCTTATTCATCTTAATTCATTGGAAAATTGGACAAAAAATAATATTTATTTTCATTAAAACTCAAAAAAAAAAAACAAAAAAAGGATTTATCATTAATGCCCAAAGATATGTATGTTTTATAATCATTGTATATGATTTTGAATTTAAAAGGGGACATCTGTATATGAATTCTCACTTTGGTTCATACAACTATGATGCTTGTTCTTAAAATCCAAAACCTATTATTACATTATACATATTTAAACGTTTTAATTACCTATTTAATTATTTAGTATAGTTATTTTATGGGGAAAAAATGTGATATCCACTTAGATGGCCATGTTTTATTTGGAGGACCCGACGATTCTTTCCAAGAAACCCCCACCGAAAGATACACATTATTCCGACCAGGCGAATACGATATTGGGATTTTTTTTCCTGGAACACGATTGGGATCTGTTATTTTTCATTTTTATTGATGTTATACACACAATTTGGTGTAGTAGGAAAACGATAAATTTTAGAATCCCGTTTAAATGCAAGTAAACGAGCAGATGAATGACGTTTTATGTGCTTCCAGTTATATACATGAGTATGGTACTAACTTATTAAATAATTTTACGTTATTTAAATTTCAAATTCAAGATTTTGAGTAATACCTATCAAGATTTTCTTGTACACCAAAAATATGAATTTAAGTTGGTGATAACATGAATAATTTATGTGGATTCAGAGGTTGTTTCTTAATGAAACTATTAAGAGGTAAACAAACAACCCTTTATTGAACTGTAAAAAAGTAAATGGTAAAAATAGAAAAAGAAAAAGGAAAATAGGGTTAGAAAATGGACAAAAAGACCGACAAAGTCACGTTGGGGGCTATCACCCACGCCCTGCAAACTTGGTCCCATCCCACAAAACCCTCTTCTCTTCCTTTCCATCCTTCCCTTCCCTTCATTATTGCCTCTTTCCCACCCTCTTACTTGTGTTTTCTTTTACTTTTTGCCACTTCATTTTTTTTACACTCTTAAAAGTGTTGTTCTCCCCTCTCACTCCACCCCTCATTTTGATTCTTTTTTTACAGTTTGAGGTGACCCATCATCAACTTTTATGATCTTCCATTATGCATACCAAATCTAATCTTCTTCCCAACAATCATTATGTCATATTGTATTAAAAATGTAACCTTAATTAAGGGACAATGTATACAGACATTCAATGGTATGATCTTGATGGATTAGGAGCAAGAAAGCTTAAGCTGAAAAGCTCTATAGCTTGATGGCTGAATTGGAGGTATATATTGTGTTAAGTTGGATTTTGAAAGGGTGTATAATATGAGCATTGATGGGGGGCAAAAACCAAGGATGATAATTGAGAAAGAAGTTAATGAAGGATTGGTCCACTGATGGTGTGTCTGTCTGCAGTGCAGAAGAGACCACTATTTACATGGCTTGCTTTCTCTTTCTCTTTCTCTTTCTCAATCACACAAAAACTGTGGTGTAGTGTGGCTTCTGCAAAATCTCTGCCAACTTCCCATGCTTTCCCCCAAACCTAATATGTCTTTTACCTTCTTTCTTTCTTTCTTTTGCGTGTGAGTGATGTAATCGATGCTCTTTTTTTATTTTTGTTTTATTTTTCTCTCTCACGTACTAATCACACCTCCATAAGACACACACACACACTACTCTCTCTCTCTCTTTCTCTTTCTCTTTCTCTTTCTCTTTCTGTCTGTAAAATTTCACCATCCTCCATGTCTGTGCATTGGTACTTGGTTATCAACTCCTGCTCGCTGGCTGATGCTGCTACTACTATACATACTGCTACTGCTACGCTGCGTGTGTGGCCATTGTACTGCATGCACTGAGAAACCATAACCCAGGTTTACAAGCCATCTCTCATCTATCTCCTACCCTAGGGGGTGGGGGGGGGGGTAACCCTTTCATCCACTTTTTAAACTAAATTCTAGGTTTATTAGGGTTAGCTACTACTCTTTTTTTAAGCTAATCAACTTCAAATCTCTAGGTTTAGGTTTAGGTTTAATGCTCTCTTTTATCCACTTTCTAAAACCAATCAACTTTTCAGGTTTAGGGTTAGTCTTTTATCCACTTCTTTTTAAACTATTTAATCAACTTTTAGGGTTAGGGTTAGGGTTTGATCCACTTTTTAAACTAATTAATCAACTTTTAGGGTTGTTGGTGTTGGTTAAAGTGGTTTAACCGTCAATTGGTATTTAGTAAAATTTGTGGTTATATTGGATTTTAATTAATTCGATTATTTGTTATCGTTCCGAAAATCTCTTACTTTCTTTTTATTAGGTCGAGTTTTTTTTTTGGTTAGCTCTTATTTTACGTTTCTTGGGTTAATTTGTTACGAACAAAATTAAAATTCATTCATAAGCAATTATTGTAACAAAAATGATATCAAAATCCTTGTTCGACGATTGTTTTAAAGTTAATGTTTTTGTATAGTTTGTTTTTTTAGCATGACGTTAAATATAAATCTCGAATATGGTTGTCGAGGCCTGAGGGTATTATTTTGGTTAATATCCTAAATTTTTCTTTTTATTCGTCTTAGGAAATTACATAATAACTCATCAATTATTCGTAACAAATTATTACAATTTTGTAAAAATAAGTTCAATTGAAAGGAAGATCAAAACTTGTGTTTGTCTTTTTAATGAAATACATCATTTATGTATTCAAATGTTTACCATCTTCTAAATTGTTCTAAAACAATATTTTTTTTGTGTAATATGTAATAATATTTAATATATTGTATATTAATTATTTATAAAAATAAAATGATGGACAAATTGTGTTGATTAGTTATTCATATCCATATCACTTATATATACATATATAGTCAGCTTCAGAAGAAAACCGTAAAAAAATTAAAAAAAACTGAAGAATACCCTAGTAATTGTTCATCTGGACGATATATACATGTGTATACTTGTAATTTCAAGCAATTTGTCCGGTATATGCACATGTGCATATCGTCCAGATGAACAGTTACCAATGTGTTCCTTAATTTTTCATTTTTTGAATTTTTTTTCCTGAATATCACTTTATATATACGTATACATACACATATATATTTAACAGTCAGATGTTTTTACTTTTTATCTCAACTTATTTTAACTTATTAGCTGTCGTCCGATTTGCACATTCTTATCACCTATAACATATACACGTATATGTAAACCAAATTATCCAAAAAATTGGTTAGTCATGTAGTTTTTTTTCATAAATAAAAATAATAAATCAAGAAACTTTTATTCAATATACATTTTATCCCTGAAACAATCGTTCTTTTCTTACTTCTCATTTGATTTTGTGTATAATATTTTCTCTCTTTACTTTCTTATCGGTGATTTTGATATGAGTTGTTACGAGACACGAGATTATGATAGGGGGTAGAGCTGGAGAGGCGTAACGAG